CATTTTTCCTTAATTAAACTAATATGATAATCATATAAATGATAAAATTAAGGGAAAGAATTGAAGAAGCCATTACCAAATGCTTAGTTCAATAGGTTAAATGAGTCAAATCAACTTATCATAGAGTCTCAAGTTCAAATTCAAATCTTAGAAAGCGAGCAGTGATAATACTTTCAAATTTTTCAAAATAGATAGAATTTAAATAAAAAAAACCGAAGAGGTTAAAATGGAACTTATTCAATTATGATCGGGGAGGAAGGAATACAAAAGATGTTTTAATTTAAAGATAAGATTGAAATGAATTAAAGGTGGGTGGGAGGATTTTTCTTGCAACAGCACCAATAAATAGATGGGCCGGAATTGTTAAAGCCCAAACAACAGCCACCATTGGTAAAGCCCATGCTCTTGCATTGCTCGCCACAGTCATCCCTACACGGACCCTGGCACTCTATGTCCAGTTGTCTCGTTTGCACTTTACTGCTCCACCCTTCCACTCCCCCTCCTGTCATTTTAAGTCATGAAGAAATTACAGTAAGAATTGACCCGAATTCAACCATGAAACACAATATTAGAAAAAAAAATCTTTTATCATCATGTCAGGAGTCAACGTCTTCATATTTTATTGTCATCAATCCCTAATAATCCATGTTTGTGACTGCAAGTAGATATGTTCCTGAAATCAAAAGCAGAGTGATGCAGACAATCCCACAAAAGCGTGGTCCCATGGCAGCACAAGTCATTTTGTGAATACGCCTCACCTCAGCTGAACTGCTTGGTCCTCACAGACCCACTCAGTCCTCATTATATATGTGTGTGTGATACTAGAGATTCTTCATGCATTTAATTCCTTCTTCATACATTTAATACTAGAGATTCTTGTAATCAATGCATTTGTGTACTCCCCGATCACAATATAATATAGGACTTTGGTAAAGATAATTACTCCACGGTTCTAAAAAAATTAAATGGAACCTCAATCTCTTAAAATTTTTTACATTTTTTCAATCATATTTTTATTAAGTAACATATATAAGAACTTCAATCATAACAATTGAAATTTCAATATATATTTTTCAAAAAAGAGCAATAAATGAAGGATATTGTTGAAAAAATACCTATAAAAATTGCCCAATGCTTATATTTTAGAACAAATAAAACTTCTAGAAGATGCTTTATAACATTATAGTCTAAAGAAGTATATGTTGCAATTATTTGGTCTGAATATGTATAAAGTTTATAATTAATTAGTAGATCACATTATTCATGAGTCATAGAAGTGTGGATCTTCTGACTATATACTCTCCCCATTTTAAAATGAGTGTAGATCTTTGGGAGAAAAAATTTGTTTCATATTATATGTTCTTAAAAAGTTCATAATCTCAACATAGCATTTATGGGTGCATTTATTTTTATTTTCTTTTTATTAATTATAAGCTGAATTGAGGGCATAATTGATAAAGTAAGAAAGAATATTGCCATATTAACTGTATTTCTTAACAAGTGCGCAGATACACTTAAAAATATTTATATGTTGAAACTGCGGAAATACTCTATTTCTAGTTTGCCAAAGTAAATTTAAAAAGTGTATGGCCATCATAAATGAGAATTTATTCGAACAAATTAAAGTCAACTAAAAAAATAAGACTTTCAACTAAAATAAATACTGTCCCGTCTTAGTTTATAAAATATATTTTTAATAAAATTATGATATAAGAAGTGGGTTTAAAAAAAATTGATTCACTTTGCGATAACGTGGTTTCAAGACTCAAGCTCATATAAGTCAAACTCATGAGAATCAGGTCTACTGAGCAGAACTCGCCTGTTTTTCTGACTCTATTCGACATATACACACCAACTACAGCATTTGAGGATTTTCTAAACTAGTGATAGCTATTTTACATCCAATATCATTGCGCCTAATCACTTGCTGAAGGAATCCTTTTTTTTTTTTTTTACTTTCTTCTGTGATTTCAAATCATAAATATATAATTCTAAGCCGTGATTCAAGTAAAACACTACATCACTACATCATGTCATCTAATATAATGAGAGATATTAATATAAAAAAAATATAACAAAATCTCTCCAAAATATATAAATAATAATTGGCTTTGAAGTTCCTGCATACTTTGCTGACATTAATAATTTTAATTTAAATAACTAAATTACTTCTTGTTTAAAATAAAAATAATGAGTCTAGATCCATTTTTTTCAATCATGACTTTTGTTTAAATAATCACAAATTTTGTTTTGTGAATTATAAAAATTGAACAAGAAATCACAACTTTCTATATGAAGTTGCTTTTATAATTGATAAACAAATTTTGAAAATAATCAGTTCTAATCACAACTTTTGTTTAAGTAATTATAACTTTAATTTTGTGAATCACAAACATTAAACAAAAAATCACAACTTTTCATGTAAATTTCTTTTATTATTGAAGTCCAAGTTTAAAAAATAATCAATCACAACTTTTGTTCTGTCAATTACAAAAATTAAGTAAAAAAATAATTTTTCACATGAAATTTTTTTTATTATTGAAGTTTAAGTTTTGAAAATAACTAATTACAACTTTTGTTTAAGTAATCATAACTTTTTTTATTGCAAGTAATTACAACTTTTATTATGTGAATCGTAATAATTTAACAATAAATTATAACTTTTCACATAAAATTTTTATTATCATTAAGGTCCAAGTTTTGAAAATAACTAATTATAATTTTTGTTTAATTAATCACAACTTTATTCTTAAATCATAAGAATTGAACAAAAAATAATAACTTTTCACTTAAATTAATTATTTTTTTATTTTAAACAAAGGGCAATTTAATCATTTGACCTAAAATTGTTGATGTTAGAAGGATACCTAAGATTGACATTTATATAATGTCAATGAAATTTTATTGTCATTTATTCTATTAATATTATAAGCCTTCCACAATTTTATTTATTTTTAAGAAATTCTATGCGCGTGATTTTTTTTCTTTTTATAATATAAGAAATATGTTCTGCTAGTGACAATAGAGATTATCTTCTTCAAAATACTAAAAGCAAAAGGTAGACATCTCTTAACTAAAATTGTTACATATAATAGGCTAGTGTTTGAACCCCGACTGATTGTTTAAATTATGAGAGTTTTTAATTACCCCCTTACATAGGCCAATTTTAGTTGGTTTTGTGTGCTTGATTTAATTTGCTTAGATTTAAGTTAAACACTGTGAGGTCACATTTTCCACGTTGGTTTCTTTTAATACGTATGCATTTTAACAAGTGGTGTTAGTGGATTTCCCAGATCATCGATCGCATTCCTTTATTTGTTCCATATTTATTGAAACTAAAATAGCATTTTACAGATAAATTGACATGACAGTCACTGATGTGCAACTAAAATATGCAGACAAAGTTGAATTAGTGTTAGTTTTGATACAAAAATTTAATAATCTTAAATTTAATTATGTGAATTTGTTTACCCAATTTTTTTATATTGCACCCCACACTCGCCACTTGTTATGATAAAGATGGATACGACATTTATAAAAAAAAAAAATGAAACATAAAATCAGCTGACATGGGAACTTTTGTCTTGTTTGAGACTTTATTTTTTATATATAAATTAAATTATTTATATTTATGCGTGGAAACCTCTTCTACATATGATGTACGATCACAAGAATAACTACAAATTATCAGAGATTATTATTTCTTTCACTCCTACTACTCTTATCCTTTTTTTCGCATTTTTGATGAATAATCTTCTTATCTTTTACAATTATGTAATCGGTGAAAAAGTATAGTATAAAAAACGTCATTAAATGTAAGGAATATTTTCGTTATATATTCTCATAATATTGTGTCTTTTTCTCTTTGTTTTATAAAATGTCTGAAGAGAAGTTACAATATAATGTTTCAAATTTGTCAACCGTGTGACTTTTTTGTGGATTTTGTATTATAGATATTCCCTCTAGTATGAATAAAGTAATTTTGTCCCTGAATATTTTTCACGTTGATATTTCCTAACCAACTAAATAACCCTCTTAACTAACCAACCTATTTAATTAAGATTACAGGATGTATGAATAAGCTTATGGATTTGCATTTGGATATCCAAATTCATATTTTGTTATAATTTTTTTGTAATTTTAAATTTACTCTAAATTTTTAGTTATTTAAAATTTTAACTACCTCAATTGTCTAAATTTTTTTTTTATGCTATCACTATTAGTGCCTCTATTACTCTCATATCTCATCTCATCTTTTATTAAATAAAATATATACATATAATTGTCGCTCTTAATTTTTTGTTTCATTCTAAACTCAACTCGTCCATCTTACACTTTTTAACTTTTTACATTATATTATCTAAATAAAAATTTTTAAATATATGAATTTTAAATGTGAAGTTTAAAACCAACAAGGATTAGGTTTAGGTTTAAATTTAGTGAAAGATGTTAGCTTCTCACAACGTGATGAATAAATATTTAAATTCTTATTAGAAGAGATGCACACATTATATAATAAGATAATTTAAAATTTAAATTCAAATCCATACAAAAGCTACATAAGTAATTTTAATTAAATTTTTTATCTATGCAAAGTGATTATATAACGAGGACAAAAAGATTGTGTAATATTATTATGATTTTTGATTATTTTACAAATTATGTGGGTCATATATGCTTTAATGCAAAGTTCAAAATGAGACATATTCATATAGTATGAATAAGGTAATTCATGCTATTTTTATATTAGAACTTGATATGTAAATATGGACATCTATATTACAAGACTTGGGAATTCCAAAATCCCCAATCAATTATTGCTCTAGAGAATTCCTAAGAAACCTCCATGTCTCCATCCCAATCTCTTTGACAGTGCTTTAGCTTTTCAACCAAAGATTATGATTTTTTTAATAAAAGAAAGGTGAATTAAAAAGCAATAAAAAAATAAAGGTGTAAAAACGAAAAGGCACACAGAGAAAAAAGAGCACATGAGATCAGCAGCATTGGCCACCATGGAAAACTCACCACCTCCTCTCATCTCGCCCCTCCCCCCTTCCCCACCACCACCATTCTTTCCCCTCCCTCCTCCACCACGCGCCTTCTCCCAAATCACCGTCATCAACGCGCTTCCTCCTTCTCCGCCGCAGCCACCCTTCCCGGACTCCCCCAGCTCCGTTGACTTGTCTCCTCTTGAGTTCCTCCTCGCTCTCATCGCCGTCGTCACCATCCCTGCCCTAATCTACACCTTCATCTTCGCCGTCAGGTGTCCCTCTCGCCATCGCCGCCATCCGGACGAAGCTTCTGGAGGACCACCCTCCGTCTTCTCCGAACCTGCGTCGCATGACGGAAGAGATGCGGCTGCGGTGTTCTCCGACTTCAGGTACCGGAAGGACGCCCATGGGAAGGAGATCGGCAGCGAGTGTCCCGTTTGCTTGTCGGTTTTCGGCGAAGGCGAGGAGGTCCGGCAGCTCAGTGTGTGTAAGCATTTGTTCCACGCTTCTTGTATCGACATGTGGCTCAGGACCCAGTCCAATTGCCCGATTTGCCGAGCCACCGTCGCCATCAGGCGGCCAAACACGGCGGCTCCGGCGAGAAATAATAGTGATCTGCAACAAGGTCTGCCTGATGCCTCTTCTTTGGATTGACTCTTTTCTTCGTCTCCCTAATTCCTGTCCGTCCCAACCAAATGCTCTGATTGTTCACTTCTTTTGTTTGGCTAGTGAGAGAGTGAAAATTTTCTGAGAAAATTGGACTTCCTTCAAAACCACGGAGATTTAGGATTTGGAAGTGGTTACCACGAGGATTTTGACTGAGCTCACCACTTGTGTATTCGTTGGCTGAAAATTTAAGATTTTATCACAGAAGTTAAACTCAATTCGGAGTTCAAACTGAAATCATCAAGTCTCTCAGTTGCAGGAATTCTTAGCTGTGAAGAAGTCTTCTGATTTATCAACTTCCTTTAGTTAATTGTTCTTCTTAAAATTTTGGGGTTCGAGTTGTTTAATTTCCCAGTTAGAGAGAAAGTGAAGGGATTTTCCTGAGAAAATTGGAGTTCAATATCAAGCCTTCAAAAGATACAAATTGATATATTTGTGGTATCCATGTTAAAGCGTTGAAAACTTTCAGTTACTCAAAATTACTGATTAACGCTATACGACAAGTCTCCTTTTTTTTTTTGGGGGTAATAAAAAGAGATTATAGAATGTGATTTTTGGAAGCTCATTTTCACATTTTTACTTGGTTATTAAAAATGTAAAAAAAAAATTCCTCAATTACCATTACCAATATTCTTAAGAATTGGAACTAGGTTCATTTTTCTTGTTAATTTATTTTAAACGGGAGAAAATATCAAAATAAAGGGACATGTATAGATTAGAAGGGTTTTAAATTTTTAAAATTGATAATTGTATTTGGATATTTGGAATTGGCTCACAATTAAAAGGAAGAGCTTATAGTAAAGATGGAATAGAATCATTGTTAACGAGAAAATTTGAGAATTACTTTTACTTTTGAGTTGTTTTATTATGTTGTTGTTATCGGATGTAGAGTGCAGTGGAATTTGTTAAAGAAATAAAATAGAGAATGAGTGGGTGAAACTGAGTTGAATAATGGAAGCTTGGCTCAAAGTTTGACAGCTTACCAAATATTAAATAGTGGAAAGAAAATGAACGGAAATGGTTGGGAAAAATGTTGAAATTGAAAGGCATTATTGTTTCTTCATTGTTGACAGTTGTCAGCCGACCAAGATAATTTTACATAATTATCATCATCATCATCATCATCAATTTTCAATGAAATATTGATGTAATATTTTTTTTCTTATCTACATGACTACACTATATGATTGAATGTTTAGAAAATTAAAATATAACAGTTAACCTCTCCCCTAAAATATAATAAGATAAGAACAAACATTATAAGAGAGTAAATTCCGTGTGTTGCGGATAATTTAAAAAAATTATAATTATCCTAGTAGTGATTGATAAAAATCTATTTTTAAATAAAAAATTGTAAAGCAACAAAGAATATTTTAAATACAATTTATAAACCCTTAAAATCTTTAAAAGATTCAGGTTCAACTTATTTTACTCTCACGTCTTTCAATTTTCAAACAAAGACGCATATTTTGTAAAGCCAAATTTTAAATATTTTCGAAAAAAATTAATTATTTGATTTTTTTTCATTTTACTTGAACTTTGAAGTCATTTCAAGCTCGATTTTTATATTTCTCAAATGTTTATAATGTGATCCCTGTTCTAAAAAATTGCATATCAATACATTATAAACCCTCACCTGAAACTATGAAATGAATTCTTACTATTTCCGTCCTATGAAAAGAAGAAACTATGAATTGTTGTTGTAGTATTTTTTTTTTTTAGTGAAGAATATTGTTTTATCGATTTTTTTGTTTTTATTTTTGGGAAAATTTTATAATTGATTTATGATTTATTTGCGGTTAAATGGATTTCGCGATGGTCCCCAGTGGGATCGAGCGCATGTGCACCAACTCACATCACAGCCAATTCGTCATGCTTGTGGGTCCTACTCCTCTTCCAAGTTTCCCTCCCAACTACAATCACTCTCCAAATTAAAAATTCAACCCGTTCGTCGCAGCCAATGGCTCTGTTTGTCACGGCGACCTAACTTAAACTTGTTACATTGGGCCCAAAGTGGCCCAATTGTACCTAGAGTCAGAAATTAATTCCCATATAGGGTCCAATTAACCCAATGCCCATCCAATTTCCCCAATGAATCTAATTAGGGCTTAGATTAATTAATTCAACTCCTTAATTAACTTAATTAATGCCTGTTTAAATTCTAGTTCTAGGATGTTATAGGAAGTGGAAGGGGTGGGATTGGATCAGACTTCCTGGGTCACAGGACATGAAACTAAATTTTAGTCCATGCCGTTAAAAGTCCCAACTGCAAATTACATTCGTACCTTTCTTATTTTAGTCAACAAGTTAAACTAGTTCCATGTCAGCATTCTAGGTCAGATTTTAGTCCAACTAAGCAATCCAAATGATCAACATCTGAACGTTTAACGTCAAGGTATGGATGCACCGAATTAATTACATCAGAGTGAAAATGCTATGCAAAATGTCTTGGAGTATTGGATGCTTATCAAAGAAAACATCAGAGGCAAAAACACATTTTAACGTTATTTTTAAAAAGAGAATATCATATTTCATATTAATCAAAATTGGAAGAGTTTACAAACATAAAATAACAACCTAAACAAACAAGAAAAATAGCCAAGTCACTACCAAAGAAAACACATTTTACTACCCCTAATTAATGTCATTTTCTAGAAAAGCGAAGTAAAAAATGGTTACAATGGCAATTTTATAATTAAACTAGACAGCTTCCCGTGCATTGCATGAATTAAAATTAAAAAATTTAAAACAAATATCATTGATATAATTGATATTGACACATTTAAGATGGCTAAATTTTTGAGAGTTCCTATATTCAATCATTTTCCTTCTTAGATATTTCATTTATACACATCTTATTTTTAGTTAAATTTAAAATTTATTGCTAATATTTTAAATCATTAAACCTTTTAGAAATATTATACATATTAAAAGGTCAGAAAGAAGAAAATCTGTATGTATTTATATATGTATGGTGAAAGAACTAAATATATATTGTTTGCTAAATCATTTTTGACTCGCTTCTTTTATGTGAAAAGACAAAGAGTCACCACATTATCTTGTCAATGCAAAATGTATGGTGAAGCATGCATAGTTTGAAGGGCCAAGACCACAAAATAAAGATTGATGATCCAAATCAAACTTAAAATTTTTTTCATTTTTATTTTTTTCTTTTTACAAATAATGTTTATGAATAATAGTTGATGAGTATTGAGTACAACAAATCAGGAAAATACATGAAAAATAGGAAAAAAAATTAAATCTCATTGATTAGAAAAATTAAAAAGGCATGGAAAAGTACAGCAACTGCAAAAGGATAGTTTGATGGAGTTAATGCTAATAATCAAGAAAATTTTAAAATAGGACTGCTCTTGAATCAATGCTCCCGTAAAAGTACACTGAAAATACATGAAAAATAAAAAAAAATTCATTGATTAGAAAAATTGAAAAGGCATAAGAAAATACAATGAATGGAGAAAGATAGTTGGATGAAGTTAATGTTAATGATCATAGAAATTTGAGAATAAGACTATTCTTAAATCAATGCTTCCATAAAAGTATATTAAAAATATATAAAAAATAGGAAAATAAATTAAATCTCATTAATGAATTAAGAAAAAATTTCATATTAACATTAGCCTAAAATTTATTAACTAATGCAGTGAGAGTCAATTTTTCTTGACTAATCAAATTAAAGCTACGAGATTACTCTCCCTGACATTAGCAGGAAAGAGGCATGAAACTCCTCCACCCTGATCGCCCAACTCTCCACCATCGGCAATAAACCCATTTAGGAGAATGGCTGATCAATGATTGATTAAGGAATATGAGACTGAGAGATGTAAAGATATTTTTGTATTGGGAACAAAAACTCTCTAGCAAGACTTGAGAGCATGGGAAACAAGATAGTTAATGCTCTCGTGATAGATGACTTAGGGAATTTTTGAAATAGAATTTAATACTCCCATCACGTAAAAAGAAAAAAATCAATTAAAATAAATAAAAAATAAATTAAATTCTATCAACCAATTAAAAAAATATTTAATCATGTCAACCAATAAAATAGTAATATTCATATTAGTATTAGACTAAAATTAAATTAATCATACAAAAATTACTGAACCAATTGGAGAGGATAATTAATATATTATACCAAAGCTTGTCGACTAATGAGAGAGAAGAGATTTGTGATCAATCACCTTCATCCTAGAAGATTTAGATATTTAATCATTTATTTATTTAATTTAATGCTCCCGTCCCATGAAAAAATAAAATCAATTAAAATAAATGAAAAAAATTAAATTATGCTAACTAATGAGAAAAAATATTCAATCACATCAACCAATGAAACAGTAATATTAATATTAGACTAAAATTAAATTAATTATACAAAAATTAATGGACCAGTGGGAGAGAATAATTAATATTATACCAAAAAAGTATATTGACCAATGAGAGAGAAGACATTTGTAACCAATCATCTTCATTCTACAAGATTTGTATATATATATATATATATTGATGTGAAAAATGCAAAGATATAGGCATTACTTTTATTTAAAGTGACGTAGAAATTAAATATCCATATTGTATTTTAAGGAGAGCGACGTTGAGTCATGATGGAAAATAATATCAACATCATTTATTTTAAACTTGATGTAGATATTAATTTTAGCTAAAAAGCAATTTAAAATTAATTTATTAAGTATCTTCCACATCGCTAATAATATGAACGACGTGGAAACTTATCCACGTTGCTCCAACAATAAAAGCAATGTAGATATTAAAGCTAGAAAACAGTTAAAATAATTAATTGATTCCATATATTCTATGTTGCTTCTAGTATGAATGACATAGAAAATTATCCATGTCACTTGAACAATCAAAGCGACGTAGATATTCAAGCTTAAAAAAGTACTATAATTAATTTATTAAGTATACTCCACATTACTCAAACAAAAAACAGCGACATGAATATTCTATTTTTCACATCGCTTATATTAGAAAACGATGTGGATATTTATTTCTTAAATGCCTAGATTTTACTTTTACTCAATAGTCAAAAACTCCAATTTTAAATTTTTTCCTTCCCGCCAAGAGTCTACTCTTCTCGACTAGAACTCAATAGAAACTCCTCTCATCCCCTCTCTTCTCCTCCCTTTCTTCTCAGCAACTAGAGATTGACGACGAAATCTCTCCTCCTTGAAGGACTGCCTCCTCTTAACCTCCTCCTCTTCTCATCATCAACGTAGCTGAGCTCCTCCCCCTCGAAGGACCTCTTTTCTCCTCTCCTTCTCTTCTCGGCCACCAAAACTCAATAGCGAGAGATTGTCTCCTCTTTTTACATCTTCTCGTCTTGACAACCAAATTTTGGCACAGCTAGAGCTCCTCTTCCTTTACATCACTGCTCTCTCTTTTTGAATTGGGTATATTTAGATATTTA